CATTGATGGACATGTCACTCTCGCAACTAAATTTTCTCCCTCTACTCCCGCGGCAAGGCGTTCACCGACATGCTCCGGGAAAGCAAGCTCGGTGAAAGGAGAGAGCATCCTTTGTCTGCCGTAATTTCTCGGATGGGTATTCGTTCGGTATGGCCGTAACTCCACAAAGTTTGCCGCTTGTAGTTCTTGTGGCCACCGTCAATTCTACATCCGATATCCGCTCTTTGCCCTTCGTATATACGGCGTTAGTCTCGGGTGGCATCGTCAATAAATCAACCTTGATAAGTTCGGATGGCCTTTGCGCCATATAGGTCTTTAAGCCCAAGCGGCAAAACAGCCTCAGAAATCGCCCATGGCTTTGTTTCGGCGGCCATCGGCATCTTCGCCATCTCGAAAACAGCCGTCTGCTTCATATTTGCGCAAAGGTTCATCACAATGCACCGGCCTAGGTGGTATTATTGCGCAGTTCCACCTTCATCATATGCGTGGTCTACTCATCAGAAAGAACCCCCCCCCCCAAAAAAAAAAAAAAAAAAAAAAAAAAAAAAAAAAAAAAACCATCTGACGTACAAATCGCTCACTGCAAGGCAAGTAGTCGCGTGGGCAGTAATAACGTCTTAATATCAGGACTTACAATATGCATACAAATCTGGAAACTTACTAAGGTAATTTCGCCAATCAGGTTGACGCTAAAAGGTAATCTCGAAAATCGGGATTCGTATGACTGGGGTGTGCCCGTCTGGAGTACGTGATTGCGCTAATGGGGCGTCCGCCTCGCCGTTTGCAGGCTTCTGGATTCAGGATAGCCGGGCCACATGGGGGCTAGGTAATACAGTGAGGATGCGGTAAAATGATACTGGGAGGATCCGAGGATCGAGCTGCTCGTGTCGCTAAAAGATTTTCCCATTTAGCGGCCCACGTTTTAACTCCTTGCCAGTGGTTCAATGGCTTTTATTCGGACATTATGTGGTTCCTATCCCCAAGGAGCAATTTCTGGTTTGTTTACGGTCTGCCGAGGTGAGAATAGCTTGGTCTCCGAGGGCTCCCTAAGCTTATCCGCTACGGGGGAGACCCTTTCCCAACATGTACTTGACTTCCGATATTTGACAATGCCCGTCGTGTCTCCGAGCAGCCGACAATCGCTCGCGTTGGCGCTATAGCGCCTTACGCAATAGAAGAACAATCTAGCCTCGTAAAGCTCGTTTCGTCCACTGCTTCATGCAAGGCGTTACTCACGTCTCCTATTTATCAACCCCTATTGGAGCCGCGGCTAGTCTAAGCACGTACACTATCCTTATCATCCATATTGTACGAATCAGATGCTGCAAGAATTCCTTGTGACACATGGGATTCTCCGATTCCACGAAGTAACAAACGCCCGAGACGCTATGCGCTGTCAAAGCAAGGGTTTTAATGCACGCAAGTTACCATGAAACCCGGCTACAAAAAGCTTAGTTACTCGCTGATGGAACTTGAAACAATTTAACAGCTGTTTTACGTGGTCAACATGTTGTTTGTCGTTTACGGAATATTACTTAATCATGAATATGTCTCACATATTAACCAGCATAGTCGCCGTTGGTTTTGGTGAGTCTTTTTTTGTTTTGTTTATCTGTGCTTACTCATGCTATCTGCGAGATTTACACGGAACATAACATACATCCTGGACCTATTGGAAAAATTGCGACTACAAGAGTTTCCCAGCCAATTGGTTCAGGTCTTCCGATTCTAGAAAGTCACAGGAGCTAAGGAGCTAAGATTGATAGAGCAACGTCTCGGACTATTTATCGATGCAAAAAGGGTTCTAAGTTAACCTAGTTGGTTTAACATGACTATGTATATCCAAGACGTGGGGCCCTTGGCTTTGTTGTTAAGAAGATAGCTTTTTGCCACGATATCAAGCTAGTACATTTTAAGTGACCGCGTCTTAAACGAACGGGGTACGCGGGAAAAGAACTTTGATCTCGCCGCTACGGTTGACGATCTGCCTTAGCAAAGTCCATGTACATGGAAATACAGTCGAGGCCAACGTAACAACAAAAAAAGCTTAATACATGCCCGAGAATTAAAAGCCCCCTTTCAGCCCAGTAGCCTTGAAGGTCATGGCAGATCTAATCGTTCTCGATTTCTCCGCAGCCAAGGTGATTACCTCTTCCTAGCGTACGCCCACCCCCAGAACTTTTGGGTATATGGCACGTACCGACGTTACCGTTGTACAATACATCCATGCGTAGAACCAGACTTGAAGCAATCGTGGCCAGCATCTAACATGATCAAATGTATTATTGTAGACATACATACATATGTACCTAAAGTCCATATGTATGTACATACAAAAATACATACGTATTTTACCTAGCGTCTTAGTAAGCCCAAATACATATCCGTATCTAATCCTGCTGTCTTTTAAACATTTTCGAATAATATAACATACAGTGTTCTATTTACGGTGCTATTATTCGATAGAAACAGACCTTATCAGACAATCTCTTCTTGGCACGTATATTCGCGCGTCATACCAAGAGACGACAAGGCTACCCCTAAAGTCATTAGGAATTGCAATATTTTAAACAAATAAATCAATTGGACCGGAAGCCTGGCTCTGTTAGTATTCACAATGTCAGCTATGTAAACTTGGTAGCCAAGATCGAAGTACCGACGATCTTCCTATCGTCGATGTTCTTGGCAGGGTCGCTCTATCGTAATTAAAGCAATAGATAGGTACCTACGTACAGCACCAAGCTACGATAATAATAATAATAATAATAATAATAATAATAATAATAATAAAACGTTTGCGATATTAAGACACCGAGGGAGGAGGTCAGAACTTAAAACAAACATGCCGCGTAAATAGAAGATGAGGAAAAATGCAAGAATGCAAGAAATTACCAGGAGCCTCATTTCGAGGCGTGCTGGGCAAAAGCTGGGCAAGCTGGGCAAGCTGGTCGATCCCATCAGCCTGTCGGCAGAAGTCAGCATAACCGCGTTAAAAGCCAAGACTTCCGTTCAACCCAAAAATGACTTAAGAGCCGGAGACAGGTAAACGAAGAAGGGCGGCCCATCCGATTCGCCGTTAGCCATTTTTTACTGGTAGGGGAATACATACATTACGGGCCGTCTCGGGCTCGGCAGGGGGCACAATTCGGTAAGGTTCTTCACCTACTAACCTAGTTATGTATGTATATATGTATGTATGTATGTATGTATATATGTATGTAGTTATTAATCCAGGTACTTTACATATCTAACCCCAGTATATCCCAGAATTGGCCCGTGTCCAGAACCATGAGGTTGTGTATGTAGTGTCCATATGTATGGTATGGTATGGAACTTTGCACGCACTTTGCCCATGCACGGCTCGGTGTAACAACGACCACCGCCACGACTGCGTTGCGCACCCAGCGGTCCTTCGTCAGCGCCAGCAGATAAGGCGCGGTGGGACAATTTTGCGACGAAGCGAAGTGGGCCGCCCGTTAACGACGGCGGTGATGACGATGCGCGGTTGCGGTAAGTTTTGCGCTTGACCGCCAATGCCTCCTTATGACGTATGTATGTATTGTACCTGGCGTATGTATAAGCCGGAATACATACAACCTTCCATTGCACTGCTACCTACACCTCCTTTACTACATACATACCTACATACATAGAAGGTTTGACATGTGGATGCAACACGACGGTACCCGATGATGGGCGGGTTGGTTGGTAGAGAGGCAGGTAATAACCACTCGCATATTCGATACCCAAAGCGACGTCACCAATGCACCGGCCCGTTGCCCCCCCACCGAAGGCTTCTATGCGGTGCTTTGGAATGCATGCAACAGCGTGAGCCCAACGACGAAAGAGTCCGGTATAATAATGGGCCGACATGTAACTTCATAAGACCGAATTGTGTCACTTGAATTGTTTAATGTTTGTTCGTAGACGTCGTGCTTCTGTTAGCTAGTATCAGATAATCTACGTCCAAGCGTGCGGATGTCTGGCCAGAAGTATCGATACACTCGACGTTCTTAATGTACAGCTTCGAGCAATGTAGTGTAGTGTTGATGATGAATACGGCTGCAGGGCGTTTCTGGAGGAGAGACACGGGCCTGGATCGGGATAATAGTTCTCGATCGCAGTCAATGAGCGGGTTCCTTAAGCTCAGTGGCCCCTTTTGGCGTATACTGAGACATACACTTGTGCATTCTTCTGGCGATGGCGATACCAAGACTACATGTTCCTCTCGTCTAGCCAATGGCCGTGAAACCACCGACTTGGCAGATTGAGGTGAGGAATGGATTTAAGGTTGAGATCGGTGCTTGAGTCTCTTTTTCACTTCACTCCAAGATCGCAAGGACAGTGGTAAGTTACATTCTCATATTTGACACATGATGATCACGAGCTGTTTACTACTGGTAATCGAAACATTCTACGCTAGCTACCTAGGAGTATATTATAGTAGATCATATTAGCAATAAACATCTGGTTAGTGGTTGAAGAAAATCCAACATTGACTTATAGAATCACACCACCTAATTTCGAATAATAAGTCATAATATTTAATCTAGTTATTTCTTCCGCCAGGTAGAACCAGCACGTCCAAGCTTCACAGGATATATCTAATCAATAGTCATACCGTTGGAAATCTGGTCTCTCCCGTATCTACTAACGAGATGCTGATAAAAGGTGCCCAAAATTAGCCCAGTACAACCGCGACTCACAATCATACGAACGCTACAACATATATCTACATGTATCACAAGCGTAGCTGTAAGACCCGGGATTCGAAACGACCTCATAGCAAGATATACCGCCGTAGCCCCTAACAAGTACTTTACATCTAGTAAATCCGAGATAGAAATGACACTAGAACTTTACTATGCCCATACCACTACGCCCTATTATACTAGATATAAGACCTTCGATAAATCTACTCACTCACTTAGATGCCTGGAAGTCAAATCTCTAATAAACACTTGATATAGGGTTGGCTGTCGTACACAAGCTTAAACACACACGTATGTCTAAATCTACACAGCAATTTGACTTCGCTTGCTACATCGCCCGAAAGTTGCCCTCGCCAACCCCCTATCCTCTAGGCCATCTTTTCCGCTTGATTTAAGCGCGATCGGGCGCTATTATGGAGGGGCACCTATGAAGGATGTTGTGAAAACTGAGGCTGGAGTTTCCATCATCGTAATTTCATACATGATCGTAGAGTTGAAATATCAACCACATGCCAGCTCCACTGCTTCGCCTATTTCACTTCAATAAGTCCACTGGACCAATACTACCGGTCTCGTTCGACGGAACCACGAAAGTAGCAAGGAACTCCTCCAGGTCTTCCATGGGAAGTGTTCTATCGTCGGCCCACGCCTGGAGGTGGTCCCAGTCGGCGCATTTTCGGGGTTCCGGCCTTGATCCTTCAACCATTCTGGGTGTTACCCAGGATAAAGTATCTAGTGTTAGGTCTGGATTGCACATGATTCCCTCGCGGAGCACATCCAAACAGTGATCTGGTTTGTGGTTAGTTAGTAATAAGTTGCAATGTATTTAGAGCCTGTAAGCACCTACACAAGTGGGCAGGGGTAAAATCACCCTCACGTTGCTGCTTCGGGTAGTACTCCGGGTGATGTGATTGATAGATTACTCTCTGCTCATTATTAGTACACACGTGCGGTTGGGTATGCACCGATGGCGGTAACATCAACTACTTACTACGCAATGTAGCAGATGGAAAGCCTCAAGGTATCCGACATAGCCACTGCCGTCTAACAACCTAACAGATGTCTTGTTCATTTTGAGCATCTCTTCTTTGGTAACCCTAATCAATGTTGCTACGGGCCATGGTCAGCCAGTGTCACATTCTATTAATACCAGGAGAGGATACTTACACCTTAGCAGTCTGGACCAGGCCTGGTCAAGCTCGGGGCTCGGGTCTCCTGTATATGGAGATGGGCCCTGTTCGTAGTCGTCCTCTTCGACAGTGATATGCCGCAGAGCCGATTCTGCTGGTGCTAGATCCCATGTCATCAGTAGAGATACGGGAATCCTGAGCTAACTCTTATTGGTACTCACTGAATGTCCTCGCGGATGAGACGTTATCTGATATAACATGGTTGCGTGTCCTTACGCATGTAGTATTGGAGACCAGGAGGACTGCGTTAAAAGCAAGGAAGAGTAAATGAAATACAAGGAGAATACTATGCGACCTAGCATACTTTAGCAGTGAGTAGTTCTTCTTTGGTTGTGCTTCCTGGTCGTTAAGGTCAGTTCCAGGGGTAAGAAATGGTATTTTCTCATCTTCTTTAGCTGGAGCCATCCTATGCCGTGTCAGGATCTATACCCGTTGATTGATTTCATACACGGAGTGAGTGTATAGGGTAGGTAGACCAAGTAGTATATTATATTGATCTAGTAACGCCTGGCCTTCTATCCTCTTACGAGGGCGCTGTGTGCCCATTATATAGTAGATAGACCCCTGTAGATACCTCGTACAATGAATAAATAATACTACGTGACGCCTGATGTTGCAATACCATTATATAAAAAGATAAGAGCAAGTGCATGTGAATGAGCATGTTGGTCGCCATACATACCTAGGTATGCAACCCTCGAAAAAACGCGTGGAAGGCTTGGGTCCCCACCCATACGACGGCACCAATGCAGGTTGGGAGAAACTGGACAGAATAGCCCCAAACCGAATACTCGTGCCAACGACAAAACAGCACCTAGGCACTACTCTAGGTTGGGGAGGGTCGTACAGCGAGAACCACTCCAAAAACGAAGTGCTTCGGGTTAAATCTCTCACATGGATCACGACGGTTGTGTGGTATAGCGTAGAACTTCACTCTTGGCCCGGCAGGCCCACTACATTCTATGCTCTAGAGGAGGCTCTAGGATAGCTATCTTGTAGCGGTTCCCTGGTGTTAAATACTACTACTGGCAATACTGCTAGGTCACCTATGTAGGTGGTATCTAGTTAAACTTCACTTCGATAAGCCAAAATATTAACGCTGGTCTATGGCGTCTTCCTGCCTTCTTGGTCAGATATTGGAAATTTAGTGGCAAGGATTTTCAACGTAGGATGTGTGATATCCTGGATAATTAGTTGGATCCAGGGGATCATCCTCAAAAGTCCAGCAATAACGGCCTTAGGAGGCGAGTCAGTTGATGTTCAGGAGACTTCCAAATTCATAATCATGTCCTTACAAGGCACTACACAAGAAGACAAGAGATTCTTGGACTTTTCGTCTTCTGCTCATGTTGAGCGTCTGAATCTCAGTTATGTTAGAGAGAGCTTTATTTTTCATCGACTTATTTCTTACCATTACGAGTGGTTCTATGAGCATAGCCAGATCAAGAGCCCAACTGAAGACTGCACATCCAGTCCGCATCCCGAAAGTATCGACATAATGCTGTCTGAGTGAATCCCAACGTTCCCAGCTCGCCGCTAGTCTAGTTCTGCACGCGAATATGTCGAAGAATAGAAACACCAGAGTCCATGGCGCGACGAGGGCTATAAGGGTCCAGTTTACATAACCGAAAGCCATTCTATATGTACAACCTGTACAGCGCAGAGTCAGTTAGGCAAGATCTTTGTTGCAACAAATCAACATCTACGTACCTCTACACACTCGAGGTAGCAAGAAAAGGATTGTAAGGTCTAATAGCCCAGGGGATAAGCGTGCAACACGTAGGTTGGTATGTAGACGATCACACCCAAGGCAAGCCGAAGAGGAATAACAAGTGATGCCATGTTCGGTACATGTAGGTTTCAAACAACCGTCTAGGAGATAAACCGTGAACGTCAAAAGAACAGTATAACAGGTAGGTAGTGAACGGTGTAGATAATAACAGAGAACTACCACATATCGTTGCTTGGTTCATTCTCCTGTTCATTGGAGAGAAGAAAATAATACATACATAGTTAGCATTACATAGTACTCTCTTCCTTCAGTCCAGCTTCCATCATCCGTAGAGCCTCGTCGCGGTGTTTCTCCATGTCGATGTCGATGATGAAGTCCCACCTTGACAGAAATGACTTGAACATCTTCGGGACCAATTTAGTTTCCTCGCTCCTCCCTATTAGCATGTTACCTGTGATCCGGCTAGACTCGACGATCCGCTGCGTACGGGGCCGGCGGACTTGATCGTATACCTTCAAGGCCGTAAGAGCCTCGGTGGGCGTCTTCGCACGCCCGAGCAAGGCGGAGAGGATGAGGCTATCTTCGATAGACATGCCACCGCCGGATCCTTGCCACGGCGTTGTTGAATGGGCTGCATCGCCAGTAACGCACATTGGGCCCGAAACATAAGTATGTGCTTTGGGGTGCTCCCAGAGGTATAAGGCTTGGTGTTCAGGTTGGTTGCAAAGCAACTAAGTTACAGGCTTGTTAGCATTTTCACACCAAATATATATTGCCTTGACGAGTCCAGGGATTATCGTACCTCATCCACGGCCTTATTGAGGGGAGATGGGTACTCTTGGAACAACTGCTTGATCTCGTCGACGCCCACAATGCGTTCCCAGCGGTCCAACGGCTCGGACTTGCTCTCCGAGTCATTAGATGCAACAGCAAACTGCACCAACTCGCCGTCACTTAGAATGTTGTGCCCAGTATGAGTTTTCGAACGGCGCTATGGATGCCATCGGCACCGACGAGGATGTCGCATTCATGTGTAGTTCCGTCGGTGAAACGAAGTGTAATTGAACCGTTCCGGTCGACTTTGTCAAGCTTCTTTGAGGCATGCATTCGATTCTGCGGGATACCAGCGAGCAGTAGTTAACTTCTTTATGGTTGTTCTTCAAGTATAAATATCTTGCTTGAGGTCAAACAGAAACAACTCAAGCGGTTCTTATATCGCGAATACTTCTATGTTGGGTTGGACCCAAGCGGAGAGAGATATAATTACCTTCAAACACACGCTGGTCAGTAACCCTCGCAACTACAGATAGACTGGTAGATCCATTGTCTTATTTAATAGGGATTCTGGAGACTTGAGGCTAGATTAGCGTACCGCGTCTACTAAAATAAGTTGGATGATAGCTCACCAGCCAGTTAGTACAATCTCACTAACAAATGATATATAGGCATCGTCTCAACCGTACTCTCTTGGACTTACATCGAGTGCTTCTTTGCTGAAGAAGGACCGACACATGCATCATAGGACAGAGGAGCTTGAACTATCCCAAAGCAGCTGGCCAAAGATGCCTGTTACCAAGCAACTATCAAGTTATATGCTGTTTCTAGATGGAAACTTCCCACGAGCTTTCGTTACATGACGAAGTAGAGTGGTTTTTTTTTTAGGCCTGCGATATTTTCAAAGCACTTTTAAGGGATAGTCCTTTTGTTTCGTGGTTTTTACCCCTGTATCCGAATGTCGGCCCACGAAATCAGAAAATACAACTCCCGGGGGATGCAGATGCCTCTAAGTTCTCATTTCAAAATCCCACCGGCTAATACACCGAATGACATACTGAACCATCACGGCGATCTAAGCCGAGCATGAGAACCTAAGTGTTACCAAATCAGGGCCTTCGACATCACAGATCTTTTGTCAGATATTGTACCCTTGATGAACGTACGTCATACATAGAGTGAACATTAGGATAACTATATATAAATGAACTATTAACGCCTGCCTTCTATCCTCTTATATACTCAATTATAGTAGACATACCCCTGAATCCATCCCTAACCCAGTTGTACCTTTGACTTCGAGTTTATACTTAGGTATACAACACACCGGTTAATTCTGAGAAAGTGTCTTCTTGTATAAAGCCTCATCTTAGACAGCCGTATGAACCGAAAATCCTCTTCCCCTTTCGTGCTAAAGAGACGGCAACTGGGATAACTAAAGGGGTTAACATTACCTCATATAGACCTTAATGATGAATAAAGTATTGTATACGCCAACTGTATTTCGAGCTCTTGATTAATAAGGTAACCAATCTAGTCTGGTTTTCGGCAACATACTCTCTATCGTTACTTTGGGCATCTCCGTACACTTTAATTACCTATACGTTCCTGCTAAAGCCACAAGACACATTATAATAGGAACAGCATCCGGGTTTCTTGTTGTTTGTTGAAATACTAACTTACCTTAAGTTTAAAATTAAAATTTTTTTTTTTAATTTTTTCATATATAATGTATGCAGCACACGGTTATTAGATGTTGAGCATTAACCTATCTTGTCAATCTTGAAACTATTTCCTTCCCCTATCCCAACCCCGCAATATTACTAACCAATAGTATATCCCAAGACTTACATCTTCGCGGAAACCTATTAGAAACTACCCAAGTATATCTATATGTCTCATATAACGTTAATGAACGATATCACCGCTAGTATATTATAGCTAGATAAGTATAGGGGTTAATAGTATATAACATCCACTGCTAGGCATGGAAATATCACATGCCAATCATTACATCTTAAAGCCCCATATCAGATCACATGCTACATTGACATTCACATCACAAAACATAGAGATAACATGTGCAAATATACCGACCCCAAACCACAACACTTTGTATCGTGATGATCAAGCCTCTAGTATAAATCGTAACAAAAACTAGGCAGATGCCGCCGTGATATTACTCAACAAGGCACAAATGTTAATCCGGACAATACCGGCCGAACGTAAAAATACTCTATACGTAACAAATCCGCAAAACCATAGAAGGACACCTCCAATCCCCGTGTCTTATTCTATCGTCATGCGAGGTATCCCATCCGTGTAAAACGCCGCCTAATGCTTAGCAGTGACCTTATCGCCGGTCAGCTTTTCAACGTAACTCTTGGCCCTATTTCACGATTCTGGTTAGCAACGTGGTTCTTGTTCTTGTTTGCGCCGGAAGCAAAAAACTTACATATCACCCATAGCCACCATGCAAACCGTCTGCCAAACGCCTAACCCAATACGCGGCATCACGCCACGGTACAAGCCCTTGAGACCGTTGGACTCGTAGATGTATTTGAAAGTGTTTCCGACCGTCATCTTCTTGGGACGGTTGGGATCCTCCTTCTTGCTCTGCATTTCTACGCGGATGACCTCGATCGGCTGGTTCCAGGCCGAGAGACCACCACCTAGAGCAGAAGCGGTAATCTTCTCAAGCGCGCTAAGCTTCTCGCCGTTCTCCTTCTTGGTGATGCGGCGGATGCCCTGTTCGGCCAAACGCGACAGACCGAAGCGCGAACCCCAATTGGTCATCTGGCGGATCGCTACGGCGTTGACGCCACGGTTGATACCGCGGATACCCTCCTTGCGGTAAATGCCCATGAAAGTCTCGAACGTGCTCGGCGGCTTGACTCCCGACGCCGCCAGCTTGTGCTGCGTGATCTCGACCGTCTTCATGCAGGTACAGAAACCCATGGTGGCATATGCCTGTGCGACACCACCCGTCACACCACCGATGATACCACTACCAAAGTCCGAAGCGCCTGCGACTCGGGCGTAGTATTCAGCTTCGGAAGCGACGAAGAGCAACACGGCGCCCTTGGTCGAGGCTTCGATCCAGGCCCAGGGAATGAGACCCTGGTAGACTGCGACGAGAAAACTACATGTTAGCAGTGTGTTTTACTCGAATGAGGGTTTCAATGGCAAAAGTATGGAACTGGTGGCTACTTACATCCAAAGACACCGCCACGGTTCCAGATGGAGCGCAGAGCAGAAGCGAAAGAATCGCCTCTGTTCGCAGCCAGATGAGTCTTGCAGACCTCCAGGGGCTGGCCGAGCGTAGTGACCTCGAACAAATTGAGGCCGGCGCCGAGCAGCAAGTTGGAGAACTTAATGGGCTTCTTCTCCAGCTTGTTCTCCGTTAGAGGGGGGGCGGCCCCGGAGGCGGCAACGGTGGCGGTGGACATTTCCAGATAGGATTCGGTTAGCGGAAAGGGGCCTGACCAAGGCAATCGGGTGCTTCTTCGCAAGTAGAGTAAAAGGGAGGGGAGGGCGGCGGATTAACCTTCGAAGAGGATGACGGTTGACGTTGAGGGATAAAAAAAAAAGATGGATGGTAAAGTTGATTTTGTGAGACGGGGAGAGACGGGGAAGTCAAAACGCAAAGGCAATAAGGGATCGGAGTCGGGGGGTTTCTCAGCAGAACGGGCGTATGATTGGTGTCGGTGAACGGATTACGATTGCCGTAAGCCTGCAGCGTACTACGGAGGGAGCTACGAGGGGCGGTGGTCAGCAAGCCAGTTAGGTCAACAAGGTCAAGAAGCCTCGGCCGCATGTGGTAAATGACAGGTACATACAGGTATGTACATATGTAGGTAGGTACCTACCACTAGTATATTCTAGCGCCTGTATTTAGCCAATGGAATAGAAGTTAATAGCTACTAGCGTTACCTACATAACCGCCTATAAATTAAATTAAATTGCTTTTGTTACTGGGCTGCTAGGCAACTCGAAATATCATACGGCCAATGGTACCTAGATTCATCTTGATTTCTGATTTCTGATTCCTGATTCCTTTTTAACAATTCGAATGATATGGTATTCCGTATATGTTCAGCTCGACTTCAGCTGACAGGATTACTCTTTCCAAGCCACTATTACCAAGCTGTATAATAAGTATAGCAAGTACCTCAGCACTATCTCCGGGCCTCAGATCCCTCGGGAACTTTGTTGAACGCTCTCTCAACAATTGCCAAGATCCCAGTGATACGCACGCTGTCCGATAATCTCGCAGCTTCCCCACCAACGAACTAACCATGTATGCTAGCTTAGTTCTATGTACCTAACCTCAACAAGCTGTCCGGAGTTTCCCCAAATCTTTTTGATTTACGGAATATTAATATTCTATTAATATCGCCATCGTTAAACCATCGGCTTCGTACATACATGCAGGTGCCGCCAAATTTATCGAATCTTATCGAATCTTATCGAATCTGCTACCTAGGTTAGACTTATACTCCATGTGGTCTTTGACCTTTGACTTTTACGAATTTACCTATATACCTAGGTATTCAATATTCAATGAACTCAAGTATCTTCTAATAATGAGTGGAATATTTTAAGTAGTTAATGTTTAATTGCATCTACCTATACAAAATTCAATCATGACGTATTATTGTACAAGCGCAGCTTTTTGGTATCGTTAGGAGTATCTCTAATTCAACCCCCTCCCGTGATACACCACTGCTCTCGGTAGACCGTTCTATTTCCGTTTGTGAAACATGCTCTTTTCAGACGAAAGGAAAAATGCGTTCCTCATTCCTTATAGCTTCTGGCAGATTTCGATCCACTTAGCAGTAGAGAAACTCTTGGGTCTCTCGATCGGCGCACCGACTGCACGGTCGATGATGAGCTGCGGTAGCACACCAATGGCACGCGAGACACCGAATAGGACAGTGTAGTAGTTAGCCTCAGTTAAGCCGTAGTACTGGAGGAGGACACCAGAGTGAGCATCGACGTTGGGGAACGGGTTCTTGGTCTTGCCGTGCTCGGTCAGGACCTTGGGGGCGATCTTGTAAACCTGGCTGACTAGCTGGAACATGGGGTCGTCGGGCATCTTCTCTAGGGCGAATGTTCGCTGAGCGGTGTATCGGGGATCCGTCTTGCGGAGAACGGCGTGGCCGTAACCGGGAACAACTCGGCCGGAGTTGAGAGTGGACCACAAGTACTCGGTGATCTTAGCGTCGCTTAGGTCATCACCAATTACCTTCTTCATCTCGGTAAGCCAGTTTAAGACCTCCTGGTTGGCAAGACCGTGAAGAGGGCCGGCAAGACCGTTGAGACCAGCGGCGAGCGATAGGAAAGGAGAGCTCAAAGCACTGCCAACAAGGTGAGTAGTGTGGGCGCTGACATTGCCACCCTCGTGGTCAGTGTGGATGGTCAGATATAGTCGCAACAGCTCGATGAAGTCCTTGTTCTCGCCAAAGCCCAGCTGGTTGGCGAAGTTGAAACTGTAGTCCTTGTCCTTCTGAACCGGCGCAACCTTTCCGCCCTTGAAGACGTTCTGGTAGATGCGAGAAGCAATAGTGGGGAGCTTGGCGATCAAGTCCATCGAGTCCTCGAAAGTGTATCCCCAGTAGTCTTTCTTGTTGATACCCTTGGCGTAAGCCTTAGCGAAAGACGAGGTGTGCTCAAGTGCGGTGACAGCAAGGGAGAACTGCGCCATCGGGTGGAGGTCGGTAGGACAGCGGTCGATAAGTTCCTCGACGAACTTGGGAACATCGGATCGAGCAGCCCACTCAGCAGAGAGGTCGCGAACCTGTTGCTCAGTAGGGACCTCACCGGTTAGGAGCAGCCAGAAAAGACCTGTAATTAATTAGCCAGCGCCCTTCTAATCACAAGTTTTTTCTTTCTTTTTTTTCTTTTTCATACCTTCGGGTAGGGGCTCCTTGCCGCCGGGGGCCTTAGGAAGAACTTCCTGGCACTCGGGGATTGTCTTGCCTCGGAAGCGGATACCCTCCTCAGAGTCGAGGACTGAACCTTCCCATACTAGAGCTTTAATTCCTCGGGCACCACCATAGACCTGGTCGAGGGTGACCTTGTCGACGACCTTAGAGCCATGCTCTCTGTGCACGAACCATGAGCTTTTGTGTGTGGGGCAATATATATATGTATTTTTTTTATAGATATTTTAAACCTACTTTCTTAAGGCCTTGATTTCTTCTATCTTCTCGGGGAGCAGCTCGGCAAAGCGTTCCTTCAAGGTCTAGAGGGATTGGTAAGCTTGAGATGCTAGGAAAGGAATTTGGAATTTTACTTACCTGGCTTTTGGAAGAAGAGTAGCATCGTGCTGCGTTGAACGCTGTGGTACGGGCCGCAAAACTGGGGGCCCGAAGTGTAGTTCGAAAGACAGAGGAGCTCAGACGGAGGGTAGACGCCATGGCTGATGATGCAGCGCGAAGCAATTAAATTATGGTGGTGAAAACAGGAAATTGGAAGAGGTAATAGGACTTCGTGAAAAAGGATAAAAAGAGTAATGAAATGCCTCACAAGCAAAAAGTATGCTTTACCTTGGTTAATTGACTGGGTGACGGACTAGGGGCGGTCTCGGTTGGATGGGGGAAGCCCGAAGAAAAATTTAGCGGGTCCGGCATCTGTTGCGAACTACGGAAGGGTACCTGATCTCATCCTATATCTACCGTCTGTGACACATGTACATATTCTATCACTACGTGCTTTCAACTTTCCCTTAGGTCGCTGCAGCTGCCAATTGGGACCGAAGCCTCACCAAAAACTTACTACGGCAGAAAGGACAACCAATAGAAGCTGTTTCTGCGGATATTTAGTGCCCGCATATCCGCGAATTGAACCTGTGTAAATGGCCTCTTTTTCCCAACATGTAGCCTTGTAACATTGCCAATTTAGCTTCACTTTCTTTTTTATATTTTTTTATATGTGCAATACCTAACATATAAAGACAAATTTACAAGCAATTCTCTGTTGGTTGGGGGAAAAGTATTGGTTGTCACGATGTAGTACTCAAATTAAATGTGTATTAGGTAGGTATGTCTTGTTGCGATCAGTCTTTGCAAGCCTCTACGTTTCTTCGGGTCTTACGTGAGTAGGATCGAGAGAAGGATTGAATGCCCGACAATGGTGGACAGCTGTTGCGGGATACATTCAATCCTTTGGTCTTGCATAGACCCTGCATTATTTAGTGATTCGTTATCTGTATCAGCAGAGAACCCATGGTAGATCGTTGCTGAATCACATGAGGCTAATGATTGATATGGACGGTTTGAAGTACCTAGGTTACGAGACTTGAAATGTTTGCTTAGTTGGACATATAGATTGATTAGTCCCCTACTTGATAACAATCAAAACACATCTTGGTCACATGGATATTACTACCCAGGGTACCTTGCTATCGTAGAGAACATGTGTAATCTACCTATACATAAATCTACTCAACAGCCACAAAACATATTATTACCTAAAACTCATGCAAAATTCATGCAAAATTTGGTTCTGATCTCGATTGTAGGATAGGTACCTAAGTACTAAGGCAGCGCTAAAGCACCAAGGCAAGTAAAGCGTAAGGCAAGTGAGAAAAGAACAGTGGGTACTTGTGGCTGGGCAAGTACATACGAATGCTCCCTCAACCCCCCACCTCTGCAACACGCGACTGAAAAAAAAATCTTGCCAACCAACAAGTTAAAGCTTTAGAAACTTGCGGCGTCTCCTCTTTCCTAACACTTCCACCACATCCGCGGTAAATATCCCACATCAACTTTTCATCGCATCGCATCAACACCCTGTAAATCCTGCCGACTTCTTCATATAGCTGTATCGAATTGGTCGCGCCAGTATCCCAATCCGCGCCACTATTCTCAGCTTACCATAACAGCACACACAGGTTTCTAACAAACACTCGACACTCGTACCGGGACCAAGCTCCCAGGCCGTAGTAGAGGTGCAAAAAAGCTTTAGTGGTGTTTCTCACTGTCGCATCAAATCACTCGACATCGCTGGACATTTTCATCATTTGTTCAATCGTTACTACATTGAAAAAGGACACTTGGAAATCATCGACTTTTACCTAGATTTGCCTTTTGACGGCTGTAACTGGTTAGGTCGCGGCAAGAAAATACAAGTAATCGCCCGAAAAGCTAGCCGAAGCAAGATAAACCAGCCCTCTTAATACTTGGGTGACTATCATCGCGACTCTATCGTATATCATTCCACAGGTGCTGCGAGCCTGTTCTCGCTGTACATTGTGTGCTTGCAGTTCTCCCCAAGTATTCAAGAGAGCTCTAGAGCAATCATGTCGTCGCCCGTAACAGAGCTTGAGGCTGGCTTGAATGCCATGCAAAATCTAAAACCACCCGGAGTTACCCAATCCCGTATTGTGGCATTGACCAGCTTATGTGTCGACAACGTCCAGGTAAGACTAGACTGCACAACTGCGCACGTCGATGCACCGGCGCGTATATGAATAGATGCTAATTTGGTTATCTACGTCACAGTCGGAATCCGTACTCATCCAGAAGATCTACACCCACTTCAAGAAAGCCCCCGCAACTCACAAGCTAGGAGTGCTCTACGTCGTAGATTCCGTAACTCGCAAATGGGTTGACCAAGCCAAACATCAAGGTCAACCTATCAATAGTTCTGCAAAGGATGGAACCTACGCTGCTGGCGTGCATAGAGTAACGGAACTGCTTCCTGTGCTTATGAATGATATCTTTCAGAACGCCCCCGGAGAACAAAAGGTACGCTTTATCATACATTCGTCGTCGCATACAGTTCGTAGTTTTGGCGATGGCATCTGCTTCAGTCACGATGCACCTAGGATAAGCCACATCTAGTCGTGCTATTTCCTAGTGTTGTTAGGCTATCTTTATTACCATTGCCATGGTAACTCGCTGCTTGCTACTCGCTGCTCGCTGCTTGCTGCTCACGCGCCTACGGGCTTATGGGCTTAACTGACTAAGACACTTTTTTGCAACATTGACCTAAAAGAAGTACTTACCTGACCGTTCCGTATAGGATAAGATTAAAAAGCTCATTGATATCTGGGAGAAAGGCCAGACATTTCCTCGGCCTATGATCGAGTCATTCAAAGAGAAGATGAAATCATTTGCTGCGAAAGGTAGGTTTCCCGATCCTAAATTTGACATTTGACATTTGACAATAGAGAACACCCCCACTTCTTCACCGTCTCTTGCATTGTTTGAGGTCACCTATCTGACCCTTGTTTGTTCTTGTAGACGAATCCACAACACCAGTTGGCAGTCCTCCTCCGGGCCCTGGTTTACCAGGTTTGACCGAGAATAAGCCACATGCTGTCGAGGCTCCGAACGCAATCATGGAGGCCCTCGCCAACATAGCCCGACAGAATGTCACAGCTACGCCCACCAACAATAACGTTCAGGTTCAGGCTCAAGCTAGCGCGTACAGCGTACCGCCGGTACAGACAAGTGCAACTCAACCTCCTATTCTTCCTCTAACCCCAAGCCAGCCTCCTATTTCTTATTCAGCACCGCCTCAGCAACCTGTAAATCTACCGGGCATGCCGTACCCGTTCCCTCAACCAGGTCAAGTTCAGGCTCATACCCCTGTGCCCCAGGTGAATGCTAGTAATCAAGCCGCGGGCTTTCCAGGTGTAGCTTCTGCTGTTCCTGCGGCACCGACTCCTGGTATGGACCCCAATGTCCAGCAGCAAGTTATGTTGATCAAGCTTCTTGCCGACCAGGGCGTGCCGTTCGATAAGATTCCAGCCATCATAGCTAGTATGCAGAGCACCAGTATGTCTACGCCCCCTGCTGCTAATTCAGCTGCAGTACCCCCGGTAGGTCAGCCTCCGTATGCTGGTTCGTGGGGTCAGGGTGGCTTTCGACCTGATGAATCACGTGATCACGACTTTCAGCAAGTGAGATCTCCAAATAGATACCGCAATCGGTCAAGGTCGCGTTCGCCCCAGCGTCATTGGGATGCGCACGACTCTCCCCGTGGTCGCTCTGATCGTGAATATGGTAGTTACGGACGTAACTCTCCTGGTCTAGGACGCACCGGAGGCACCGGAGGCACTGGAGGCACCGGGTATCGACAGCGTAGTCCTGGACGCCGTGGCCGTAGCCCAAGCCCTGTACACAGCTTTTCCCAGCCGACTGCTAAATGGGTCGAGTTTGACAGAACTATCCCCCCGGGTCATATCAAAGGTAAATAACTGGTATATCTATTGTAACCCTATACACTAACACGGTTTCTAGTTTTAAGTAGAACTTTGTTCGTAGGAGGTGTCACGTAAGTAACATATATATCTGCTGAGAAATACACTATAAACTAACTAATGTACATAGTTGTCCCGAGAGCGAGTTGCGTAGCGTCTTCAACCGCCATGGCCAAGTGCAGACCTGCATCGTCAACAAAGACAAGCGTCATGCATTTGTTAAGATGGTCACTCGCCGAGATGCCGTTAATGCTAAGGAGGCTATGGAGAGCAGCACCTTTCGAGTAAGTAGTGTTGAGAGTTATTATCATGCTTATGCTTTGCATTACTAATACAGGGACAGACTCGTTGGGGAGTAGGATTTGGTCCTCGTGACTGCAGTGACTACCAAACGGGCATCAGCGTCATCCCCATCAGCAAATTGACAGAGGCTGACCGAAAGTGGATGTTGACTGCTGAATACGGTGGAAGTGGTGGCCGTGCTATCGAGCCAGGCATGGTAGTTGAGGAGCCAGACATTGAGATTGGTGCTGGCGTCTCATCGAAGGCCATCAGTCGACGCATGCAGACTGACAAGGGCGGAAGACACGGGCCAAAGTCTAGCCGTGTCCCAGGCGACAGCGACGAGGGAGACCTCACTCGATGGCGACGAAACCGGGACCCACGTCAAGAGGAGGTTCAAAATGACAGGAATGGACTTCCTACCGGAACGGCTGTCCCGGCGTTTCCTTTTGGAATCGGAACTGGACCCAACGGAATGCCCGTCTTCCCGCCGGGATTTGCGTTTCCAGCGCCTCCTGCCGACCAGTAGGGCTGGTCGAATGAACATGGGTTTGGAAGATACTAATTGGGTTGATTTGGTGTCCGGGTCTTGGTGCCCACTAGGCTTCTAGGGATTTTTCAAATTTTCTCTCCAAATAATCCTAATGGACGGTTGCAGATCGAGATCATTTTCAATAGTACAACCTGCAACTACTTTACGAATCACGTAGCATGGAACGGCGTTGGTGGCATTCTGAGTTGGGCCTCATAGGACTTTTAGTTAGGCGCGGGTCCTCGTTGATATTGACGTCGCATTATACTAGTCGGTTAGTCAACTTCGAGTATAGGTCGATGGACAGCTGCATCAGAGGGGGCCATGTTTTGTTCATTGTATTCATTTTCTTCATCTTCGCGATTCTGGTATTGGCTTGCACTATCAAGCAAGACAATGTTGGTACAGATTGCATAATGTATAGTATTCAGCAGAGGAGGCGTTACGGACAGAAAAAAAAAGGCAAGGGGCGGCACTTTTGGCAACTCCTTGCTCTGAAGGTTTCTGAAGCCAGGTAGCTTCATAGTTATTAAGAATAATTTTCTTGCGGAAAGTTAGCTAGGCTTGCGAGTTTGTGCACTGGACTCTCGTGCCATGGCTTGGGTA